CCTTCCAGTATTTTCTGTTGGTCATGTGTGCCAAGTTTGGTTCAATTCCATCCTTGGTGGAGTTCAGAATGCTCCTTGATTGTAGGTGAACTATAAATCCCAGCCACTACAACTCCCAAATGACAACATCAACCCCACCAGTATTCAAATTTGGGCATATCGGGTATTTGTGCCAAATTTGGTCCAGTGATTGAAAATAAATCCAGCATATCAGATATTTGCATTACGATTCATAACAGTAGCAAAATTGCAGTTCTGAAGTAGCAATGAAAATAATTTTATGGTTGGGGGTCACCACAACATGAGGAACTATATTAAGGGGTCGTGGTATGTGGAAGGTTGCTTTAGGGTCACATATCTCTGGCTCAAACAGATATTCCCTCTTGTTTACTACATGTGATGATAAAGTGGATGCATATGGTTCAAAGCCACATGTGGTTATATGAAAGTAGCCACCGTATTGTCGAAGGCTTTCATGGCTGGAATCACTAGGTTCTTGTGGGTTTTTTTCGGGCTATAGGGCCATGTTCTAGAGGCATTTCTCCTGACGTTTTGCCTGCATCTATGGCAAGCATCCTCAGAGGTAGTGAGGTCTGCTGGAATTAGTAGCCACCCTTCAAAACAAATCTGCATGGTCTGAAATTTATCTTGGGCGCAAGATAAAAATGGACAATCTGTTTGTTTTGCAGCATGAGGATTTCAGTCACTTTGTTTAAATGGCAATGCCAGATTGTGACATCCCCTGCCAGGAGCTACAGTGTTCTGCGCTGAAAACTCCTTCAGCATTACCTCACTTACAGGGTTAACTTAGTAATTCTTTGTGCAAATGATTTACTGGCTTAAGGCATCCCTCAGCCACGGCTTTATGCAAAGGAGGAAAAGGGAAAGCTTCCCGTATGGCTCTCCCCTTGATGCTTTATAGGGAGAACCACTTGAATTATTAATACTGGGAATTTAGATAAGATTCACATTTTGCTGTTTTAGAACAGCTTCCCATTAGTAAGGAAAATTAGAAAGTTATCGCTTGGGTCTGCTCATTAAAATTCACTCCTTTTCCTGTCCTGATATCTCAGTGAAAAGGAGCAAAGAAACTACCCAGTGGAGACTTTTCACTATTGGAGCTTTCAGAAGGTGCATCTGTATTGTAGAATTAATCCAGTTTGACACCACCTTGATTGAATGCTATGTATGCTGTCGCATCTGGGGGCTTTAACTCTTAGTGAAAGAGGTATGGACGTGACATCTTTCCCCCAGGGGATTGCTTCTTGCCCTCCTTTAGGAAAACTAGAACTCCCAGCCAAAACACTGTAGATAACTCAAAATAGGTTTAATTTTTCACAAAGAGTTATCTCTTTAAGGCAATAAGCTGGAAGTTTCAAAGTGGTAAAGGGAAATATACATTACAGTCTCTGGTTGTCTTGGGCCCAAGGAGTTTTGCAGCTGAGAAGCTTTTCCAAGTTCCCTCTTTCTCAATGGCTGTGAATATCGGAATAATCACAACCCCAATTCCAATGGCCTATATTTTGAAGGCACAAAGCCTTCCTCTGGTGCCAAAGAACTGGTTTGAAGGTGCTTGAGACTTCTCAGCGTCGTCCAGGTTGATCTGAACATGAAGCATAAGTCTCAAGGGTAAGAACCTCAGAATTGGTGCTGAGAGGTAACTTAATCACGGGCTTCAGAGCCAAGTCTCTCTCTCATGCCCATCTGATAGAAAGTTTGATGGTGGAATGAAAAAGGAAACACTGTCCTGCTCTCTAGGAAGAAGTGGGGTCAAACAATTGAGCAGGAGGAGCAATTCAACTGGTGCAAACAACATTGTTGGACAGCTATAAATAACCAATCAATCCAACTATACATTTACAGAGTAAAAAGGGCAAAATCAGGCATGATACAACAGTTCAAATCCTGCAACTTACAGTTCTACATATAGGTGGCGCCACTCGCGCCGTCACACTATGGAATCCTGGGAGTTGTAGTTTTACAAGGTCTTCAGCTTTCTCTGCCTAAGAGGTCTGGTGTCTCAGCAAGTATTTGCATTTTGCAATTACTCTGCATGACATTTGCATGTGGTTGTTTTGCATGCAACACAACATTTTCTTTTGAAAGAAGAGTTTTTCCTGTGCAGATAAATAGCTTTCTGCACAGAAAGGTTACTTATTTTTGTGTAAAATTTGCTTGTGATTGTTTTGCAGCGAAAACAGTGATTTCTGCACATAAAATATTTCTGTATACAAAATATGCATGGTAAATTCTAATATATGAAGATTTTCATCAACCCAAGTTTCTTCTGGAAAACCTTTTTATTTTCCAAAGCATTTGAAATTGTAGTTTGCCATTGTTGTGTAGTATTGTATTTGATTACATGTGTTTTCAGTTTGCTTTGTTCTACATTATGTTGTTGTATTATTTGGATTTTATCTGGATAAATTTTTGGCTGTTGTAGTATATAGTCATGTGAATTACTGTTTCTCCTTTCCCTCTGTTTATTTATATGTACGCACATATATTTTAGATTGCACACTTTTGTCAAGGCCCATTGGATTTACCTGTACATTTGGTAGCACTGTATTAATAAAGAATAATGTTGATAATGATTCAGTAGACCCTTAGTTAATGGGAATTCAAGCAACTGGCAAAACAAACAAACAAATGAAGAAAATAACTTTTTAAAAGCTGTTTTTATACTACAATAAAATCTTGATACATAATAATAATCATCATCAACAACAACAACATACCTTGGGGTGGTTTACACATAGAAAAAGGCAAGCATTCAATGCCTCAGGTGAGCACAAACACATCAAAATAATACACAATAAATCAAAAGTAATAACGGTGAGCTTACGACAAAGAATTAAGCATTGTGAGGAAAAATAAAACCAAACAATCCAATAAGACCTAATCAACTAAACATAGCAAACATTACAACAAATATCCTAAAAGCAATTTAAAACACAGCATTTTATTTGAGAACACAGAAGTGCTGGACCACTCTCACAACCACCATGTCAGACTACACAGAGAAGCCATTGAAATCCACAAGCATGTGGACAATTTCAACAGAAAGGAGGAAAGCATGAAAATGAACAAAATCTGGCTACCAGTATTAAAAAACTCTAAAATTGCAACAGCACAACAACAGAGAGGAAGCAGGCAGGGACATCTAATTACCTCTCAACAAAAGTTTGCCCCAGGCACAGTCAGCCCATTGTATGCTAATCAAGGTGGTCAGTTGAAACATTCACACCTTGCTCCAGCAGACAAGAGTCCTTTGTCCCACCCTGGTCATTCCACAGATATATAAACCCACTTTCCTTGTTCGAACAGACCTCACTACCTCTGAGGATGCTTGCCAAAGTGCAGGCGAAACGTCAGGAGAGAATGCCTCTAGACCATGGCCATACAGCCCGAAAAAACCTACAACAACCCAATTTAAAATAGTTACATTAAAATGGCTACATTAAATTTGTCTTTATTTATTTTTATTTAATTTTAATAAATGTAATTCAATATTAATACCAAGTCAATATGGTTCATGTTATGGTACAGTATGGAGCATAGTATGACTTATTTCTATTTTTCATAGTAGAGACGCCGGTGGTGCAGTGCGTTAAACCGCCGAACATACTGACCGAAAAGTCAGTAGTTTGAATCTGGAGAGTGGGGTGAGCTTCCGCTATTAGCCCCAGCTTCTGCCAATCTGGCAGCTCGAAAACATGCAAATTTGAGTAGATCAATAGGTACCACTGTGGCAGTAAAGTAACAGCGCGCCATGCACTCATGCTGGCCACATGACCTAGGAGGTATCTATGGACAACGCTGGCTCTTTGGCTTAGAAATGGAGATGAGCACTACCCCCAGAGTCAGACTTGACTAGACTTAATGTCAAGGGGAAAACTTTACTTTTACTTATTTCTCGTAGTAACACACAAGCAACCAGAAATTATATTTATCTTGCATCTGCTAATTTCTATGGGAGTTGATTCATTGAGGGTCTATTGCATTTTCCAAACATTTAAAAAACATTTTGAATATTTCTTTCATCTCTCTGGCCCACTTCGCTCTCTACATTCAATATCTAGATCAGTGTTTCTCAACCTTCCTAATGCCACGACCCCTTAATACAGTTCCTCATGTTGTGGTGACACCCCAACCATAACATTATTTTGTTTCTACTTCGTAACTGTAATGTTGCCACTGTTATGAATTATAATGTAAATATCTGATATGCAGGATGTATTTTCATTCACTGGACCAAATTTGGCACAAATACCTGATACGTCCACATTAGAATACTGGTGGGTTTAGGGGGGATTGATTGCTTTTGTCATTTGAGAGTTGTAGTCGCTGGGATTTATAGTTCACCTACAATCAAAGAGCATTCTGAACTCCACCATTGATGGAATTAAACTTGGCACACAGAACTCCCATGACCAACAGAAAATAGTGGAAAGATTTGGTGGGTATAGACCTTGAGTTTGGGAGTTGTAGTTCACCTACATCCAGAGAGCAAAAAACAATGATGGATCTGGACCAAATTTGGCACAGATGGTCAATATGCCCAAATGTGAACACTGGTGGAGTTTGGGAAAAGTAGACCTTGACATTTGGGAGTTGTAGTTGCAGGGATTTATAATTCACTTAAAGAGCATTCTGAACATCACCAATGATAGAATTGGGACAAACCTCCCACACAGAACCCCCATGACTAACAGAAAATACTATGTTTTCTCATGGTCTTTGGTGACCCCTCTGATAACCCCTCACGACCCCTCTGGGGGTCCCGACCCCCAGGTTGAGAACCACTATCCTCGAGACATTTCATTCAAAAGGAGGGAAAGTCTTTATTCTTAACCCACAGCTGGAAAAAAATGTATTTATTGCCATCTTGAAGAAAATAATGGATTGAGGAACCCTGACAGTTGTAGTATTGAAAGATCAACTTAATTATGTCTTATGTCTAATTGTAGTATGCCTAACCCTCTCCCCTTTGGTTTCAGCTATGGCAGACTCCTATTCCTACCGAGTTGGAAAGAAAGTTGGTGGATCGAGCAAGACCAGTATGGACAAAGAGAGCAGCAAGGCAGAGATGAAGCTCAACCCAGCATATGAACAGTCAAGGCTTGGTAAGGAAGCCCACTGCACTTTCAGATAAATGATGGGCTGCTTTTGCTGGTGGACCTTTTTCAGTATAGTCAGCCATCCACATTTGCTGAAGTTAGGGGCACAAGATCCACATGAAAGTGAAAAACTACAAATAAATAAATTGCAATTATTTCACATGGGAGAACACTTCTCTAGGAATTTCTAGGTCTTCCAGCATGTCCACTCCTGCTAGAATATGACCGCAGGATTGCATTGGAGACAATCCTGGAAAGGTATTTCTTTCAAAATCTCTACATTGTGGTGCAGCTGGTTGGGAGTCAGCTGCATTAAAATTACTACTGACTAAGAGGTCATGAGTTCGAAGCCGGCCCAGGTCAGAGTAAGTTCCCGACCATTTGTCTAGCTTGCTATCGACCTTTGCAGCCTGAAAGACAGTTGCATCTGTCAAGTAGGAAATTTAGGTACTGCTTAGGCAGGGAGGCTACTTTTACTAATTTACGATGCCATAAAACCCTCCAGCAGCGTGCAAAAGAATGAGGATGTACCATTGGTGTCACAAGTGGACGGTGAAGCGACAGCACCCCCGGTGGCCGGAATTGAAAAAGCATATCTTCATGAAGTTGGAAAATTAAAATAGCCTCTGTGTCTCTGTCTGTATATGTTGTATGTTTATGGCATTCAATGTTTGCCATGTATATGTTCATTGTGATCCTCCCTGAGTCCCCTATGGGGTGAGAAGGGCAGAATATAAATGCTGTAAATAATAATAATAATAATAATAATAATAATAATAATAATAATAGGTCTTCCAGCATGACTCAATGGAATCTGGCCACAGAATTGCATTGGAGGACACAAATATCCCTAGAGAAGTGTTCTGCCTAGATAGATAGTTCTTGGGCTGGTCTACACTGCCATAAAATCCCATTTCTGAATCCAGATTATTTGCTTTGAACTGGATTATATGAGTCCACATTGCCATATAAACCAGTTCAAAGCTGATAATCCGGATTCAGAAAGTGGATCCATTGGAATCTTTAGCTCTCTGATCTAATTGTAATTTAGTGGCTATGGTGGTTGGGAGATTTCAGGAACTGTCATCCAGAAAAAGCAACTTTCTCTTCTTGTGGTTTCTAAATGCTGAATTTGATGAGTTTTGTATTTTGTGTGGAAGTGTATGTAATCAACATCATAGTCTAAATGAGTTTTTCCTGCCCTTTCATTATTTTTAGTCAGTACATGAATACAGGTTGAGTATTCCTTACTCTGAAATCCGAAAAGCTCCAAAATCCAAAATTATCGACAAGAATCACTGTTTTTTTTCTATTGCTTCAGAACTTGGCTTTATGTATTAAAAATGCCGTGTATAAAATTACCTTCAGGGTATGTATATAAGATGTAGATGAATTTTGGATTTAGACTTGGATCCCATTTGCAAGGTATCTCATTATGTATGTGCAAATATTCCAAAATCTAGAACTCAAAGCACGCCTGGCCCTAAATACTTCGAATAAGGAATTATCTACCTGTATGATGAATTGAATGAATATAAATGCCAGTGCTTGAATTGTCTTCCTTGCAAGCTCTGTTGATTGCAGAATGGAAAGGGAATTTAAATCAACGGGCATCCAAAGAGATGCCAGATTTGAGAGATGTCTTGATTTCACCCTTCTTGTCTTCGTATCCTTCGCAGGAAATGCAACCAATGACAAAACTGAAGGCAAGCGGAAAGGGAGGCCCAAAGTGGACAGCCAAGCCCTGAAAGATATTCCTGTAAGATGTCTTGAATAATGTCCTTCATCCATTCTGATAAAGGGAAGGGGAGGGCAGAGAGGGAACCGAGAATGGAAATTTTAGTGAATTTTAGTGTGGAAAACTACTTTACACTGAATCAAATTTGTTATTTATGTCAATTGTGAAAGGCACATACTCTGAGTGTCAGAACCCAGATGCCTTAATTAGAGCCAAACACAAGATAAGAGTTCAAAACACAGCTTTATTATACAAATATAGACTTTCAAGCACTTAACTTCAGTGCAAAAGAGTCTCAGTGGTAATTTGGCATCAAAAACAAAGCGATACCAGTAACAAAAATATAACCCGGATTATAGCGCTGCCTTATAATCTGGATTAAACTCAAAGTTAAGCAATTCGCTTGTAAAYTGGCACAGCACAAAAACACAGTCACAGAAGCTGGAAAAACGAAGTCCCAAAACGAGGAATTGTTCAATCACAAAGTTATAAGAGTTTAAAGTCAAGGAAGCCAAAAACGTTAGTCAAACCAGTCCGTGGTCAARCCGTAGGTAAACAAATGCTGGAATGCAGGAATCACCGAAGAGCAGGAATTCAGGAACACACGAAGCTGTAGSCCAGGACCCAAATTCAAGAGTTGGCAGTACAAAGAGTTATGTCCAATAAAGACGCTTTGTCTTCTGCAAAGTACCATGCAAACAGAGCCCACTTTTATCTCAAAGTTCCTCATCAGAGCTTGATGAGCTCCCCACCTTTTCGTCATCGCTCTCAGCTGCCCCCAACCCCGCAGCTGAATCCGAGCACCCATCCCTCCACCTCTGCCAGCATCTGCTAAGACTTAGATCCTGCCAAGAGGTCCCTGGCTGCCAATCCTCAGTGAACTCCTCAAATTCCTCACTGGAGGTGGGTTGGGTACAAATGTCCCTTATTTGTTGAACACGGGTCCAATCTAATTCCTCCTCATCCATATCACTCTCAGACCCAGAACTCCTTTCAAACCCCAGGAAATCCTCATCCTCTGTTGGTGCACTAAGTATTTCCCGGATGCGCTTCCTCTGCAATTCCCCTTCGGACTCCGGCTCGCGAGCAGCCCTCTTTACAACTCTGCTCCCTTCCCCATCCCCCATTTCGTAATCTGAGAAGCCTTGAAACGTGTCAGTATCACTTGGGGCCATAATGATTTCCCTAATGCGCTTTCGTTGTTGTTCTCCCTCTGACTCCTGAGCAGACCTTTTCTCCCTGCTACCAGGAGTAGCAACGCTACCAACACGCTGAACTACAACACTGAGACAGCATGTCTCACTGTCACACAGCTCTTACCAATGGGAAGTTCTTCCCAATGAAGTTCTTTCCTAGGCCCCTTCCACACAGCTGTATAAAATCCACATTGAACTGGATGATATGGCAGTGTGGACTTCAGAGCTGCTATTGTGAATTATCTGCTTTTATATTCGGGGTTAAAACGCTCTGTGGAACCGGGTGCCCAACAAGCTTGAACCTCCTACAACATCATCTGACTATACCACCTCTAAAAACATAATTCAACCTGGCAGTATTTTAATGGATTTCTGAGGTTCTGCAGAAGGAAACAGGCTGGATGGCCATCTGTCTGGGGTGCTTTGAATGTGCTTTTCCTGCATGACAAGAGGTTGAACTAGATGGCCCAAGTGGCCTCTTCCAACTCTACTGTTTTATGATTCTATGAAGAAATTATAATTCCCCAACAAGTATCTGTCCAACATCTGTACTGCTATCACAGTTATGGGGCATCTTGACAACAGGCAGCTGGAAAGACCCTGCTGTGGTCCTATATTCCTCAGAACCTCAGTTAGATAATCTTGGAACCACTTTTGGATATTGATAGGGAGAAAACATTTAAGACAGTGTTTCCAAAATGTTGGTGTCCTAGATGTTTTGGCCTTCGGCCCCCAGAATTCCTGACTATTGGCCAAGCTGGCTGGGATTTTAGCAGTCAAAGCCCAAGCATAAGTGTGGCTGCAAGTCCAGCTTACAATCATGTAACTGTAAGGTGGGCCAAAAGTCACAAAAGGGTTTAATTATTTAATAACTCCTTCACCTTTTATTTTTAATTTACAACACAATAGCATTATTTATTTATTTATTTATTTATTTACTTCGCTTATATACCGCTGTTCTCAGCCCGGGGGCGACTCACAGCGGTGTACAACATAGAAAAACACAATTCAAGTCACAGTATAAAAACAATTCACAATCCAGCATTATACAAAAACATCGTCATTACTACGAAAACCATTCAGCATCGTCTCATCGTCCAAACCACAATCCAGTATCATTTTCCGTTGTTCCATTCCTATAGTCATTACCAATCATTGCACTTCTTGTTCGAACGCCTTCTTGAACAACCAAGTCTTTAATTTCCTGCGGAATATCATCAGGGAAGGAGCCAGTCTAATGTCCACGGGAAGGGTGTTCCACAGCCGAGGAGCCACCACCGAGAAGGCCCTATCTCTCGTCCCCGCCAGCCATGCTTGTGAAGCAGGCGGGATCGAGAGCAGGGCCTCCCCGGAAGATCTCAAAGTCCTGGTGGGCTCGTAGGTCGAGATGCGGTCAGATAGGTATCTTGGGCCAGAACCGTTTAGGGCTTTATAGGCCAACGCCAGCACCTTGAATTGAGCCCGGTAGCAAATCGGCAGCCAGTGGAGCTGGTACAACAAGGGCGTTGTATGCTCCCTGCGTCCTGCTCCTGTTAGTAACATGGCTGCCGCACGTTGGACATTGAAGCTTCCGGGCCGTCTTCAAAGGCAACCCCACGTAGAGAGCGTTGCAGTAGTCTAAACGGGATGTAACCAGAGCGTCCTATACAGTATATGTAGGAAGTAAACTTATATATTACATGTGAAAAATCTAATCTCATAAATGGTGTGCAATACCATAGCATTATAGATATAAAATACCCCTTTGTGGCTTATGGCCCACTCTCCTATGTTCCCACTAGATGTGTACAACACAACGATGAGACCAGGAGAAATGTTTTTGTTGGGGTGATGGTTGGCAGGGCCCTCCCAGCTCTTCCAATGTCCTAATGAAATGGGTACCTGGTCACTTCCAGAGCTTTGCCTTATTTTTTGTGAATTTACAAGTAAAGGGAAATTAGGTCCCTGGGGACATTGGATTTGCCTTCTTCTTCTGCCTTTGACTTGTGGATTCTTTCTTTCTTCACTCAGCTGCCTCTCATGAACCAGTGGAAGGATGAGTTCAAGGCCCATTCGAGGGTGAAATGCCCCAACTCGGGCTGTTGGCTGGAGTTCCCCAGCATCTATGGCCTGAAGTACCATTACCAACGCTGCCAAGGGGCAAGGAAGACAGAGGTCAGTGTTCCATTTTGATGATCCATATTTACAATTGTGATATGATCAATGTCAAATATGTCTTTCTTTCAAAAGCAGATGGTTTAAGAGACTAACACATTTTGGTGTGTTTCCAAACTTTAGGTTTTTTGAACTTCAATTTCCAGAAGCTCCAGCCAGCTTATCCAATGGTCAGAAATACTGTGAGCCGAAGTCCAAAACACTTAAAAACCTAAAGTTTTGTGGACCACTGGCATGAAGCTTTGTCAGTCTCCAAAGATGTGGAGTGGACAGACCTTGGTTGGAATTCTCTTAGTGTCTTTGCTACATTGGAATTATGTACCTCCAAGTCAGCTCTAACTTGCGGCAACCCTATCATGGGGTTTTCTGGGCAAGATTTGTTCAGATTTGCCATTTCTTTCCTCTGAGGCTCAGAGAATGCCACTTGCCCAAGGCCTCCCAAGCGTTTGTATGGCTGGTTGGGGCTTTGAAGCCTGGTCTCTACATCTCAGTAGAGCAGAGTTTCTCAACCTAGGGGTTGGGACCCCGAGGGGGGGTCGCGAGGGTGTGTCAGAGGAGTTGCCAACAACCATCAGAAAACACAATATTTTCTGTTGGTAATAGGGGTTCTGTGTGGGAAGTTTGGCTCAATTCTATACTTGGTGGGGTTCAGAATGCTCTTTGATTGTAGGTGAACTATAAATCCCAACAACTACAACTCCCAAATGTCAAGGTCTATCTTCTCTAAACTCCACCAGTGTTCACATTTGGGCATATTGAGTATTTGGAAGATCAGGAAGACAGAGTTAGATAAAATTGCTATCAACTGCCAAGGAGATTCTAAGGGTTAACTGGATCCTCTCCTAAAATGTATTTTAGCTATTATTAACTTCCATTGTTTTTGTTGTGGGAGCAAATTATGGTTCTGTTTAGTATCTTTGGTGCCTGTACTCTGAGGGTACTATTGTGTGTGTGTGTGGAGTATTTGTGCCAAGTTTGGTCCAGATCCCTCATTTTTTGAGTCCACAGTGCTCTCTGTATGTAGGTGAATTACAACTCCAAATCTCCAGGTCAATGCCCATCAAACCCTTCCAGTATTTTCTGTTGGTCATGGGAGTTCTGTGTACCAAGTTTAATTCCATCGATGGTGGAGTTCAGAATGCTCTTTGATTTTAGGTGAACTATAAATCCCAGCAACTACAACTCCCAAATGACAAAATCAGTCCTCCCAACTCCACCAGTATTCAAATTTGGGTGTATCAGGTATTTGTGCCAAATTTGGTCCAGTGAATGAAAATACATCTTGCATATCAGATATTTAAATTATGATTCATAACAGTAGCAAAATTACAGTTATGAAGTAGCAACAAAAATAATGTTATGGTTGGGGGTCACCACAATATGAGGAAGTGTATTAAGGGCTTCACAGCCTTAGGAAAATTGAGGACCATTGCAGGAGAGACATCTAGAAAAATCACAGGATGTCTTAAACCTACACCTGTTGATAGACTCTATAAGTGAGCTGGCATTACCCCCCCCCCCCCCCCCCCCCAATGTGCTATGGTAAGTTGCTGCCAATTGTGAGAGAAATAAGGATGAACATTGTGAAAGCCACCCACTTTAAGCCTTTCCCTGTAGACTCAAATCAAGGAAAAGCTTCATGAGCACCACTACTCCTCTAAATGTTCCTCCAGCAAAAGCAAGAATATCCTTCTCAGCAGCAAAATCAGGCAATTCCAACTGTATCCCCCCAACGAGGGTGTGCCTCCAGGGGCAAACCAGGAATGGGCAACTTGGAAGTCCCTGAACAGACTCGGAAGTAGAGTTGAATCCTCCACCTTGTGTGACTGTGGAGCAGAACAAACAACTCCACATCTGTATGTTGCCCGCAATGCCTTGCCTCATGCACAGGGGAAGAACTGTTCAAAGCTATAGGCAATGCAGCCACTGTTGTCCATTTTTGGTCTAAAAGTAGCAGCTTGTGATCCCTTTATTTTATCAGTTTTAGATAAACTATTTTATGCAAATGCTTTTGACACGAAATAAATAAATACGTCTCAGTCCAACACTTAAACCACTATATCACATTGATTCCCTTAAACATCAATGCAGGAATTAAAACTGAAGTCTTGGAAATGATAAAAGCAAAGATTGGGAGATGCAGTAGCTCTAATTGCTTAAGTTTTACTTTTGGAAACCAACTATGAACTTCGGCAACTGGAACCCTCCTGCCTAACAGGGTTGGATGATCAAGACATGCTAATCTAATTAGCCAGGTGTTGCTTGTGGGTTTCCAGTTATCCAAAAGCCCTACTTTGCCTCTTTCCAAATGTAGCTTAATACACAGCATCTTTTCTACAAACTTGTGGAGTGGGCAACATGAAGCCCTTGCAGGAAGCACCTCCAAGCTGTTCGTGTAGCCATTGATTCCCCCAAACTACAAGAAAGGAGATTCCACCTGAACTTTAGGAAGAACTTCCTGACTGTGAGAGCTGTTCAGCAGTGGAACTCTCTGCCATGGAGTGTGGTGGTGACTCCTTCTTTGGAGGCTTTGAAGCAGAGGCTGGATGGCCATGTGTTGGGCATGCTTTGATTGTGATTTTCCTGCTTCTTGGCAGGGGGTTGGACTGGATGACCCATGAGGTCTTTTCCAACTCTATGATTCTATGATTCTATGTTCTCCAGAGCACTCTTTGTAAACAGGAAGCATCTTTAAATGGTAAATCACCCTTTCAGTAGGTTGTAGCAGGTGCACGATTTCATTCCTTGTGCACTGTTTGTGTACATGTGGTCCCCAAGGCAGAATAAAATGGTCTAGCCAAAAAAATGGAATCCCGGGAGTTATAGTTTGGAGTGGCACCATCATTCTTGGGCAAATAAGGTCAAAGTCCTTGTAAAACTTCAACTCCACTATTCCATAGCAGTGAGCCATGACAGTCTAAGTTGTATCGAACTGCATTAATTCTAAAGTGTAGATGCATCCTTAAATGTGTCTCTACATGCTTCCAGATGAGACTCGTTGAGTCTGACTCAATTCACTTTGCGTCATGGTTTGTTTTTTTGTCAATCTTGAAGTTCTGCATTAAGGGATAGCCGCTGGGAGTCCTTTTCTGTGTGTTGTTTTATGACAACACATTTGTATTCCTTTGGATAGTTTTATTGACACAGTGTTCCAGTTGTGGTCTAACCAGAACAGAAGAGAGCTGACCTCTTATTCCCATGGTCTATTAGTGGAGCTGACGTTTGCGTTAGATTCTTTTCTTTTTTTTCATTAGCAGTCTTCGTTAACGCTGTTGGCAAATGTTCAGTTTATAATCAACCAAAGATCCTTTTTGGGCACTGTGCCAACTAAATAGATCTTCACTGCCCTATAATTGGGAAGTCTTGCTTTTATTTGTTTATATATTTGCACTTAAATGCAAAGCTTTTTCTTGGTTGTGTTTCTTTTCTGTTTGCATGTAAATATGAGACTTTCACCTGTCAAAGTGCATTTACAAGCGCCGTTCATTAAAGATTTCCCCTGACCCACTTTCATTTATCACAGGATGCTGAAATTGCACATATGTAATGATATAAGTCTCTATAGGTTCCATGCCAATTTACGACTCAGAACTGATAACGGTCTTGATTTTACAAGTGCTGAAGTGGTGTGAGGTTTAAGAATGGACCCAGTGGAATACAGAGCAGTCCTCAAGTTCCTTTACTTGAAAGGCCTCCCACCAAAGGAGATATTCGATGAAATGAAAGAGGTTTATGATGTATGATGGAGTCAAGAACTGGCACCTTCAATTCAAATGTAGTTGACTTTGGTGGAAACAGCTCCAATTCCAGGGTGACCCCACTCTATTGATGAACACACCATCCAGCAAGTTGAGGTTGCCATTTTGGAAAATCACCACATAACCATTCGCCTCCTAGCCCAAAATATCAAGATTAGTGTGGGGTCCATGGAAAAATCATCCAAGACCATCTTCACATGCATAAGGTATCTGCTCCCTGCTCACACCTTTCCAGAAGCAGGAAGGCATTGAATGCTCTCAGGCTCTATTGATGATGTGCTATGGAAACCAGGAGGACTTTTTCAACAGACTGATCACACAAGATGAAAGCTGGGTCTATCACTATGATCCTGAGACTAGAGTCCAGTCGATGCAATGGAAGCAATGGAACTCACCACCACCAAAGAAAGCACGTATCCAACTCTTGGCAGGCAGATCATGCTCACAGTGTTTTGGGACCAGCATGGAGTACCATGATCACTCGGGCATACTATGCTTCACTGCTGCAGAAATTGGGAGAGGCCATCAAAGCCAAGAGATGTGGCATGCTCACCAAAGGTGTCTGCCTTCTGCAAGACAATGCACCAGTTCACAGCTCACGTGTTTCCCAAATGGAAGCATGTTCCTGTGACTTTGAAATTCTATGGCATTTTCCTTATTCATCCAACCTCGCACCATCGGGCTTCCACCTCTTTCCAACAATGAAGTTATTTTTGAAGTGCAAGCATTTTACAGATGCTGAGACTCTGATTTCTGAAGTCACAACACGGCTTTTGGAGTAACCTGTTGACTTCAACAAGTGAGGTGTTTACAGTTGCTTAAAAAGATGGGAGAAGTATGTGTCCCTAAGTGGCACCTATGGAGAGAAGGACTCATAACTGTGCCAAGTTTCATTGCTCTCAGTCCACAGGAAGTGAGTCAGGGGAAATCTTTAATGAATGCCCCTCAGAACTAGTTTCAACATTGTGTGACAAGTGACCAGAGACCATTATGAATGTTGATTCTGTCTTCTGGAGTATTAGCTACTCCTTCATACTTGTAAGCAATATAGATGATTGTTTTTATTCCAGTAACTCTACACTTGGAGACCACAAAAATGGCCCCTGTGTTGGCATGTGGCTTGTGGGACACACTTTGGCTGGTCTTACACTGAAGCAATTCTGGGCACAACAATTCAAGAAGGATATTGGTAACTGGAGCATGTCCAGAACAGGTTGATCAAAATGTTTAAAGTTGTGGAAGCCAAGCCCTATGAGGAGCAGCTTGGAGAGTTAAGTATGTTTATTGTTTAGCTCGGAAAAAAGAAGGCAGAGAACAGACATGATAGCCATCTTTAAATATTGGCAAGGATGTCACTTTGAAGAGGCAGTAAGCTTGTTTTCTGGCGTTCTGGAGACAAGGACACAATGTAGCAATAGATTCAAATTGCAGGAAAAGAGATTCCACCTAAACATTAGGAAGATCTTTCTGATGGTGAGAGCTATTCAACAGTGGAATGTATTACCTGGGAGCCTGGTTGAATCTCCTTTTCTGGAGATTTTTAAGCAGATTCCAAGTGGCTATCTATCAGGAGCTCTTTGACTGTGTTTTCCTGCATGGCAGGTTGGGATGGATGGCCTTTGTTGTCTCTTCCAGTTATATGATTCTGTGTAAACCTTGTTATGTTTCCCAGCTCTGGCTAGAAGCCCACAGTGTTTCTTTGCCTTTTCCTCCTGGTCCCACTTCATCCTCTCTCTTTCTGCTCTTTTTCACAGAGTGCGGTGGTGGAGAAACGGACCTTTCCTTGTCCGTACTGCGAAGCCACTTTCACCTCCAAAACCCAACTGGAAAAACACCACCTTTGGAACCACCTGGAGAGGCGGCTGCCGGTTGTGACTCCTCCGCCAGTGGAAAACAAAGTGCCCAAATCCTCCAGCAAAGGCGGGGGCAAGAAAAGGTATGGACTTGTTGCAAAACAGGGAGTGCTTTTCGATGGATCAGGGAGGAGAGGAAGCACTGAGATGTATAGAAAGTCCCCAATGTCTTAAACTCCTGTTTCAACCAGCCCTGTGTGCTTTGCCCTAGAGCTGCTGAGGGTTCAGCTTCCCCCACCATCCATCCCAAACAGGCGAAGATGGAGAAGGCAATGGTCTTACAGCGGCCCGAGAACGGCGAGTGTGCACCTGTCAAGCAACGCAACAAAGAATTCCAGGTGACAGTGAGTGGCGTGGCAGCAACGCCTTTGACTCAGCCATCCAGTGGACGCGGGTCCAAGCAGCAGTCAAGCAGGAAGATTGTCGAGCAGGAAGAAGACCCCGAAAGGATGAAGCACAGTAAGGCCCCAGTTTCGTTTCCCCAACTTTCCAGACGTCAGGCTTGGATTTTCCCCAGTGCTTTTCAAAATCAGATGTAAAGATCCAAGGATTTACGGTGTGTCTACACTGCAGAATTAATATAGTTTGACACCACTTTTAAACTGCGATGGCTCAAAGCTTTCAAATCATGGGAGTTGTAGTTTTGCAAGGTGTTCTGTTTTCTCTGTCAAAGAGTGTTGGTGCATCACCAAACTACAGCTCTCTATGAATAATTAGCATTGAGCCATGGCAGGTAAACTGCATTAATTCTGAACTGTAGATGCACCCTTTGGAAATCTTTGTTTCTCTTGGTAAGGCATTCTAAGCTTAGGAGCAGCCATTCAAAAGGCCCCATCTTATTCAGTTTCCTTCTGATGATGGCTGAATATATGAAAGGCTTGTTCCAAGGATCTTAGAACATTGGGATGATGATGACCCAACCTTCTTCTCAAAATTGAGATTCAAGGCAGATTAAAATGAGAATTATAAAGCTAAAAGACACACAAAAAGCGAAAATGGTTCTCAAAAAGGGTGTGTTTGGGAATTACAGTTTCCAAAAAATATGCTTTTTAAAAAACACTGGTCTTATACCAGAAAAAATAGTATACTTTTTGATCCTTGAAGATGTAAACACTCCTTTGAAAAGGGTCTCATTCTGGTTTCTGCATGAGTTTGCTATCTGGATGTCTCCAAATTTCCGAAGTTTCCTACCTGCTGTGGGGGGAAAAATCTTTCAATGCAATTACTCTCCCTTTATTTTCTCAATTGTTTTAGGGAGTTGTTCTGTGCAGAAATAACACCTGCTTTCTCTGTGCCACCCTTACTTATTTTGGTACAGAAAACCTATTGGAAGGTGACCATAGAATCACTCCGGAGGACCTAGAGATTCCCTGGAGTAGTTACATTTGCCTGGATGTAGCATGCAGGTGTTTCACCAAACTTTTGTTTCTGTTTTCTCCTTTTTGAGTTAGGAAGGAAACAGAAAACCCCTAAGAAGTTTACTGGGGAACAGCCATCCATCTCAGGAACGTTTGGATTGAAAGGTAAAGTACGAACTTCTTCCCATCTTGTGGAATCTCTAGTGTGGGTTGCTTCAGGTTCTCTGCTATCAGGGAATGGCTTTCAAACCAGCTTTTCTGCCATGGAGCCTTTGGTATGTTACAGAGGATTCCAGAAAATATCTTAGGCCATACCATTGGTTCAAGCTTGGTGCAAGTGTGCCAGTTGGATGTCACTGCTAATCAGTTCAAACACTTTTTAAGAGAACCTTAGCTTTGATGGCAAAGCTCTTTCAGGTCTGCTTTCTTGCTATTAGTCATTTGTCAAAAGGGACAGCTTTAGCACAGCAGGTTAAACGCTAGCTGTAGACAATCGTGTTGGTCAAAAGGCTGCCAGTTCAAAGCCAGGTCAGGGTGAGCTCTTGACCTTTAGCCCAGCTTCCTCCTACCTAGTGGTTCGAAAGCAAAAATGATTAGACAAATAGATACCGCTCATGAAAAAACATGAGACACCCAGAAGGAATGCTGGCAATTCAATCCAAAAGAAGGAAGGAAGTTACGAACTAGTTCTTTGGTAGGGAGATGGAGTGACAGCACCCCTTGTGGCCGGAACTGAGCACAACACCCTCCAAGGTGCCAAAAGATGGGGAAAGCTGATATATATGCCTCTTATCTATGTATAATTGTCTGTCTAGTTGTGTATAAAACAGCATTGAATGTTTGTTGCATATGTATGTACTGTGATCCACCCTGAGTCCCCTTCGAGTTGAGAAGGGTGGGATATAAATACTGTAAATAAATAAATAAATTTGCTCCAGAGTTCTCAGAAGGACGAACTGAGATTTGGAGCAGTTATTTATTTATTTATTTACAGATTTTATATCCTGCCCTTCTCACCCCGCAGGGGACTCAGGGCAGATTACAGTGTACACATATATGGCAAACATTCAATGCCAATTTTTGACATACAAACATATACAGACATACACAGAGGCTATTTAACTTTTTTCTGGCCGCCAGGGGAGCTGTCGCTTTCATCGTCCATCTGCGACGCTGATGAAGTTCTTCCGCATTCCCCACATGCTTCTTTATGGCCTCATAAATCAGTTAATTTAGCCTCCCCACACTTTAAGGTGGTACCTAATTTTCCTACTTGACAGATGCAACTGTCTTTCGGGTTGCAAAGGTCAACAACAGGCTACACACAATTGTTTGGAAACCCACTCCAACCCGGGCTGGCTTCGAACTCATGACCTTTTTGGTCAGAGTGATCTTAATGCAGCTGACACTCAGGCAGCTGTGCCACAATCCCGGTGTTTTTGAAGAGTAGCCACTGGAAAAGATCCCTTTTCCTTCTCCATATTCTACTACCACTATCTCCTTCTCCTCTTCCTCAAGAATCTTAGAGCATAGGCAGGAATGATGATCCAGCTTTCTCTTTCAAATTCAGGTTTAAGACAGCTTATAATTTAAAATGAGACTAATAAAGATGAAAACACATCGGAAATGGACATTACAATAAAATACAACTGTTTACAATATTAAAACAGTGTAAATCTACATTTGGAAAACATGAAAACTATTGCAATATGGTTTTCTAGTAGCCTGATGTGAAATTTTATCGTAAGTACTTTAGTCTTTGAATTTTATGCAAAGAGAGTCAAAAAGTGGCCATAAGGACTAGGGTGCATATTCACTGTAGGGTTAACACAGTTTGATATCATAGAATCATAGAGTTGGAAGAGACCTTGTGGGTCATGGTTTGATTTTATATTGTTGTGTTGCCTATTTACATTGGTTTTGTATTTTATGTTATTTTATTTTCTGATTTTCTGTTGTGTTTTTGCGTTATATTGTGTTTTCTGTATTGATGGGCGTGGCCTCATGTAAGCCGCCCTGAGTCCCCTTGAGGAAATGGTGGAGGGTATAAATAAAGTTATTATTATTATTATTATTATTATTATTAAACCTCCTGCCAAGAAGCAGGAAAAAGCACACCCAACAGATGGCCATCCAGCCTCTGTTTAAAAGTCTCCAAAGAAGGAAGCTCCACCACACTCTGTGGCAGAGAGTTCCACTGCTGAACAGCTCTCATAGTTAGGACGTTCTTCCTCATGTTCAGGTGGAATCTCTTTTCCTGTAGTTTGAAGCCATTGTTCCATTGCGTCCTAGTCTCCAGGACAGCAGAAAACAAGCCTGCTCCCTCCTCTCTATGATTTTCCCTCACACATTTATACATGGCCCTCATCATGTCTCCCCTCAGCCTTCTCTTCTGAAGGCTAAACATGCCAAGCTCTTCAAGTTGCTCCTCATAGGGCTTGTTCTCCAGACCCTTGATCATTTGAGTTGCCCTCCTCTGGACACATACCAGCTTGTCAACATCTCCAATTGTGGTGCCCAGAATTGGACACAGTGTAATTCCAGGTGTGGTCTGACCAAGGCAGAATAGAAGGTTAGCATGACCTCCCTGATCTAGACACTATACTCCTATTTATGCAGGCCAACGCATGTCGTTGTTGGTTCATGTTTAACTTGTTATTCACGAGGACTCTAAGATCTTTTTCACACGTACATCACTTTAACTGTCATGGCTCAATGTTGTGGAATCACGGCAACCTTCTCTGCCTTTCAATTGATCTCTGGTCTTGCCCGAATTAAGCTTCCATTTATTCCCTCTCCTCCGGTCCATTACTAACTTCAGACACCGCTTCTTTACATTCAGACTTAGAAATGGTTCCAGGGCTGTCAGTATACATTGCAATTCACAGTGTAGCCTAAGCAATATAGGCAGCTTCCTTCTCCAAGGGCTCTACAGTCTAAGTGTTGACACTGACGGAGGAAGAAGAGAGGTAGGAGGGGAAGAGAGGAGGAGGCTGTGGTGGCAAAGAGGTGAGGCCAAGACAGCAGATATTTGTGGCAAGAGCAGAGGTGAACATGAGCCAATGCAAATGCTCTGCCTTTTGACTCTTCTCCTTGCTGTAGCTTTCCCACTGCGCTGGCCATTCCCAGACTCCCTGTATGACTTGATTCTGACAGCTGTTTCTGATCTGAACAGACAGCTGGAGTCTGTAGGCATTCATGGGTCACAGAGCTGTGTCTGAGCCATTGCAAGCTTTCCTGTCACTGTTCATAGAGTTGTATGTGGCCCCTGAGCACTGATTTGTAGCCTCCAAAGATCTCCAGCAAATGCTTGATCCCCTGCATTTAGGGAAAAAATCAGCACACAAAACCCTCTCCAACACTCCATACCAAAACATGCTTGCCATTTCCCACTCTCTTCCAAACCTCAGTGGATGCCTCTCCATGGAGTAGGGGAGCAGGGGGGTTCTTCCAAGTCCCTTCAGGGAGATAGATCAGTCAACAAATAAAGTTGTTGTTGTTGTTGTTGTTAGATACATAACAAGATGAGTACACAGCAAACAAGATCACTATGCTGGCCTTTATAGTTGATCACACATTGGACACTTCACAAGTGTCTAGGGCTATGTGATGTATTGACAAATAATGCGTGCAGATCTGAGCAGGGTGGCCTTTTGCAGCTGGCAGATGGTAATTTTGTTAGCACCGATTGTTTTTAAGTGCAGGCCAAGGTCTTTAGGCACTGCACCCAGTGTGCCGATCACCACTGGGACTACCTTGACTGGCTTGTGCCAGAGTTTTTCCAGTTCAATCTTTAAATCCTCATATTATGTAAGCTATATTAGAATCATAGAATCAAAGAGTTGGAAGAGACCTCATGGGCCATCCAGTCCAACCCCCTGCCAAGAAGCAGGAATTGCATTCAAATCACCCCTGACAGATGGCCATCCAGCCTCTGTTTAAAAGCTTCCAAAGAAGGAGCCTCCACCACACTCCGGGGCAGAGAGTTCCACTGCTGAACGGCTCTCACAGTCAGGAAGTTCTTCCTCGTGTTCAGATGGAATCTCCTCTCTTGTAGTTTGAAGCCATTGTTCCGCGTCCTAGTCTCCAAGGAAGCAAAAAACAAGCTTGCTCCCTCCTCCCTGTGGCTTCCTCTCACATATTTATACATGGCTATCATATCTCCTCTCAGCCTTCTCTTCTTCAGGCTAAACATGCCCAGCTCCTTAAGCCGCTCCTCATAGGGCTTGTTCTCCAGACCCTTGATCATTTTAGTCACCCTCCTCTGGACACATTCCAGCTTTTCAATATCTCTCTTGAATTGTGGTGCCCAGAATTGGACACAATATTCCAGGTGTGGTCTAACCAAAGCGGAATAGAGGGGTAGCATTACTTCCCTAGATCTAGACACTATGCTCCTATTGATGCAGGCCAAAATCCCATTGGCTTTTTTTGCTGCTGCATCACATTGTTGGCTCATGTTTAACTTGTTGTCCACGAGGACTCCAAGATCTTTTTCACATGTACTGCTCTTGATCCAGGCGTCCCCCATTTTGTATCTTTGCATTTCGTTTTTCCTGCCAAAGTGAAGTATCTTGCATTTGTCACTGCTGAACTTCATAACAATAATAATTTTCACTACAACTCCCAGAATCTCCCAATTGGTATGAGAGATTCAGAAGATTGATATATCCATAGTCTTGAGTTGAGTATCTCCAATGCAGTGGTTCTCAACTGGTGGTTCCCCAGATGTTTTGGCTTTCAACACCCAGAAATCCTAACAGTTGGTAACCTGGGTTGCTGTAAGTTTTTCGGGCTGTATGGCCATGTTCGAGAAGCGTTCTCTCCTGACGTTTCAGCTGCATCTATGGCAAACTTGCTGAGATTTCTGGGAGTTGCAGCCCAAAACACCTGGGAATCCACAGGTTGAGAACCACTGCTCGAATGGCTTAAAATCCTTTCAGACTTCAGAATTAGGATGGGACTTTGATGGTCCTTTGATGGTCCTTTTCATGCACTTAATGTTTTTGTTTTCTCCAAACCAAAGTGTACACATTAGTTGTGTTTGAGTAGTTGTGATCCTATCCTTCTTAATGCAAGAGATGGTTTGTTTGTTTTTTGAGCCAGGTGGCAAAGTTGGACCATTCATTCTTTTCATCAAGATATCTGTTTCTGCTGTTGTTATTTGTCATCGAGTAATTTACAACTTATACCAACGCTAAGGGGAACCTGTCATGGGGCTTTATTGGCAAGGTTGGTTCAGCCAGGGCTTGGCTTTGCCTTCCTCTGAGGCTGACTTACCCGGGGGCTAAGAGTACACAATTTTGTGCCAGTGTCTTATATGGAAACAATTGTGTGATCAGTTTCATTCTCTTTTACAACCATGTTCTTTGACAGGGCTGGCAAAAGCAGAAGACAAGGCGAAAGCCCACCGAGCCAAGAAACTGGAAGCAGCTCTAAACAGCGGCGGTAACAACAACAGTGAAGAACAGAAGAAGAAACTGCTGGGATCCAGTATGAAAAAGGAAACTTCCTCGATGGGAGTCACCACATCTACAGCCACAGCTCTTTCAGTAACAAGTGGGTGATTTTGCCAAAGCTTTTTCTTGAATCTCTGGCTTTTTGCAATGTTATATTCTTCCTCTGATTGATATTCTTCCCTTTATGGCGTCATTTCCTGTCTTCTTGAAAGATGCATTTGTACTGTCAAATTAATGCAGTTTGACAACACATTAGCTGCCATGGTTCAATGCTGTTGAATCCTGGGAGTTATTGTTTTGCAAGAACTTTGGTCTCTTCTGCAAAGAGTCCTGGTGTCCCAGCAAACTTCAGCTCCCAGGATCCCACAGCATCGAGCAATGGAAGTTAAAGTTGTTTGTTTGTGTGTGTATGTGTATCTGCGTATAAGTGTCAGGTCGTTTCTGGTTCGAGAGAATTAGCCATCTGTAAAGACGTTGCCCAGGGAATGCCTGGATGTTTGATGTTTTACTATCCTTGTGGGAGGCTTTTCTCATGTCCCTGCATGGGGAGCTGGAGCTGAACTCAACCTGCTTTCCCCGGATTTGAACCACTGACCTATAGATAGATAGATAGATAGATAGATAGATAGATAGATAGATAGATAGATAGATAGATAGATAGATAGATAGATTCTTCCCCCATGATCGCTTTCTGGCTTGAGTATAAGGCAGGATGTTCCAAATAAACACAGCTGTAGGCTCTTCCAGCTCAGACCATATTTCCCAGCTTTTCCAAGCTGCGATCAAATATGATATAGTTCCAATAAACAGTTCAGCAGGGTTTGGCTTCAGCCTCGACTTGCTGTGCTGCCAGACCCACATTCTGCTTGTGAGAATGAATCCTGGCCTGTTTCGGCTCACTCTCCTCGAATTGTGCCGTTCTGATAAAAACACATGGCTCCCAGAAGCGGCATAAATCATCCAGCCGCCTGCATTTGTTCAGGGAGCTGTGGAACTGCTCACTATGTCCCTGCAAAGATCTGTATTTTCTCACTCTAAAGTTCATTCTTTGGGAGAGTTTGTGTAGCATTTTGGTAAATATATATATTCTTTTATATTATCCTACCATTCTTGAAGGTACATGCATAGACTATGCTTGACGGTGAAATGTAGTATGGCATTTCCCTGTAAGACAGTTCTGTCAACACTTCTCACAGTTTTCAATAATAATAATAATAATAATAATAATAATAATAATAATAGTAATAATAAAAGGTAAAAGTTGTCCCCTGACATTAAGTCCAATCATGTCTGACTCTGGGGTGTGGTGCTCATCTCCATTTCTAAGCCGAAGAGCCAGTGTTGTCCATAGACACCTCCAAGGTAATGTGGCTGGCATGACTGCATGGAGCACCGTTACCTTCCCGCCGGAGCGGTACCTATTGATCTACTCATATTTGCATGTTTTCGAACTGCTAGGTTGGCAGAAGCTAGGGCTGACAGCAGAAGCTCACGCCACTCTCCAGAATCGAACCTGCGACCTTTCAGTCAACAAGCTCAGCAGTTCAGCGCTTTAACCCACTGCACCACTGGGAGCTCAAATAATAATAATAATTATTATTATTATTATTATCTATTTATTTATTTATTTATAGCCCGCCCTATCTCCCAAAGGGACTCAGGGTGGCTTACTACAAAACAAAACACAGTGGCAAACATTCAGTGCTGAAGATACTGTAACATATAAACAAATCACAAACAAGCTCAATAAAAATGATAAAAGCAACTTCAACAAACTAGGCATAGCACAATCCACACAATTACAGCATATTCAGTCCTTAAAATCTCTTAAAATTCAATTAAAATTATTGGAGGGAAGATGGTAAACAGCAGATTAATGAAGATTCAGCAGCTAGGCGAGGGTGTATATAGGTGTAATTAGTCCTCCTCCTCTCCATAAGCTAAAATGCATAGATGTGTTTTTAAAAGTGAGGAGAGAGGAAGCCATTTTTAATTATTTGGGGGTGGGGGAGGTCCAGAGGTGGAGAGCGAGCACGGAGAAGGCTCTCTCTCTCTCTTGTCCAAACCAGCCACACTTGAAACGGGGGTGGGACTGAGAGGAGGGTCTCCTCTGCAGACCACAGTGCTCGTGTTGATTTGTATACGGAGATGCAGTTTTTCAAATAGATAATGGCCAGCAGTTTGTATTTAGCCTGGAAGCAAATAGGCAGCCAGTGGAGCTTCCATAACATAGGAGTTGCCTGCTCCAGTTAGTAACCTGGCTGCCGATCTCTGAACCAGTTGCAGCTTCTGAACTATCCTCAAAGGCAGCCCTACATAGAGAGCATTGCAGTAGTCCAGGTGGGATGTGACTAAGGTATGGACTACCATGGCCAAGTCTAGCATTTCACCGTATGGGTGCAGCTGGCACACAAGTTTTAATTGTGAGAAGGTGCTACTGGCCACTGCTGACACTTTGGGTTCCAGGGTCAGCAGTGGTCAAGAGTGTGATCCCATCCAACACAGGCTGTAACCCCACACCCTGATCTGCCTTCTGACTGACCAGGAGTACCTCTGTTTTGTCTGAATTCATCTTCATCTAGAGCAGATCTTTTGTAGGAAAACACTTCCCCAGTTTTTTGGACTATATTTCCTACAATCCCACATTTGCTGACACTCTCTGGGAGCTGTTGTTTTTAACAGCAACTTTTTAAAATTTGGAGTACCAGATTTAGATCTGGATTTAAAACTCATCTGGACTGTTTTGCACCCGGTGCTTGGATCCCCTCTTGTCTAAATCCCCTGAAACTACTAAGGGTGTAAGAAATGGCAGAAATCTGTACCGTTTTTGTTTCCATTTTTGGATGCTCCCTATTCCGTTTTTTGAAAAAATCAGGAAATTTGGGAAGGGTTTTTTAAATCCATTATTTGGGATCCAGAGTTCTGTTTTCGTCCTGGGAAGATTCCATCAATTGGCACCAATGGAGGAATTTTAGAGGCTTGTCTCTCCATCATTTTTATGGCTATCAGGATGAAACTTACCACACTTGTATGACATGTTTACGACTACAAGCCTGCCAGGTTTCAAATTGTTTTGCTAATCCATTGATTTTTGAAAAATTTTCAAGTGTTTTACCAATAACATATTTAAAAACCACAAAAGGGGTTTCTGGGATTTGAAGCCCAAAACAGCACATGTCACAAGAGCAGAGGAAAATGGACAGGACCAGGCCTGTGATTGGCTGAGAAATGTGATGCAGCAAGATTGCTACTTGTGCTTGCAAAACAAACAAATAGAATACTAATGTGAAAAGTAAGTCCAAATCAACAAATATTTCCCGAATATTGAGCCGAAGGATTAAGCGGTCAGTTTTTCATTCTGGGAAGGGTCTGAAAGGGTCCTTCCCAGTCCGTTTCCAGCATCTCAACTGCCGGATCTCCGAAATTATCCAAAATCTGAATAGACCAATGAAATTTTTCACACCCCTAGAAATTGCACATTGTGTTGTTTTTAGCATTTTAGAATGTTAACTGCCTTGAGCTTCTTTTAAGAGAGAAAAAGTGGCATAGTAGTAGTAGTAGTAGTAGTAGTAGTAATACCCACATCTGGTCTTTCCTTTTCCTCTAGTGAGCCCCGAGGAGCAGTGGCAGAGGACAATCAATGAAAAGGGAGAGATCGCCTGCCCGACATGTAACATGATCAGCCGGAAGACAATCCTGGGGCTCAAGAAGCACATGGAAGTCTGCCAAAAGGTAGGAACCTGCATTTCCTTTCAAAACAAGGCATGCAGAGAAAAGGGAGAAAGGAAGCATACTTCCTCGCTGCTCTTTTCCTCTGAAAGGAAGATGCCAAACTGATCCCCAGCAGCAGTTGCAGCTTGATTGAGCGGGAGACTAAAAGGAGGTAGATTAGTCTTTGCCACTTAGGGTGCATCAGCACAGTTGAAATCCTTGCCCAACTTTAAGAAAGACTGGGACTTATTTATTACCTTTCTACAACAAAGAAGGAGACAATTAGAAGAGTGCCACTCATGGTAAAAGGGTGGTATCCGTGATATCTTATGGGTGTAGAAAAGTGGAGAAGTTTAAACCAACAGGCAGAGAGTGTAAGGCTCATAGAGTATGTGGCATAATGTAAAATAAACCACATGTAGTTCATGTTGGATCAGCCCACACACTACCATGCCAAGGAAAAGAAAATATGCCATGCAGGTGAACAGTAAAGAACAAGTAGTTTACTCTTCTTAATTCAGAACAATATTTGTACAGTATGATCAGTTGCATTAACTTACTAAATGTCCTTTTATGAGAGATTTAAAATGGTCCTTTCTGTGCCCATATGAGAGGCATTTCAGCAGCCAAGAAGCAAATCAGTGTGTCTCTCTCTGTGTGTCTCTCTTCTCTCTCTGCACTTGCATAGCTTAAGCCTGAACAAAAATGTAATGGTAACCAAAAGTCCCAGGCTCAGCCTGCTCTCCGGACATTGCCCGACCAATCAGCTTCATGCATCTTATTTTACAGTTGACACAAACATTAACTCATTCCTTGCATGCTCCAACAGAGTAGATGTGTTTTTATATGTGTATCATATGTTTAGTGGTAAGTTTTGTGATAGTCATAGTGAGGATAATTGTTCTAGATTATGCTGTTCTAGTTGTAGTGTCTTTTTCTTTTAAGAAAATACTGGTTTGGTTTGGTTTTTGTGGCTGAAGGGACGTTTTGTGACTGTACTTAGTCTATTTTGATACTTAATTCCTCTGTTGTAATTTTCTGTTGTTACTCTACATTATTTTATATTACTTTGATTTGTCTTTACTTATTTTGAATCATTGAATGTTTGTCCTTTTATGACTCAACTGCCCTGAGTTCTTCTGGGGAGAGAAGGCAGTCTAGAAATAAAATGTTATTAATGTTTTGTATTATTATTATTATTTGAATTTTATTTTATTTAAGTAGACATACATTTGTAAGTGTTTGTTGCATACAGTGCAATACTTTCTATCTATTAACGTTCCATAATCATTTATCTGATATTTCCTTTAACAGTCTACTATCTAAATAATACATATAAAAATATCATAGACTCTTACTTTACATCCGCTTCCTCCTTGTATTATTTGTATTATTATATAGTGTTTTATATATTGGGTCGTTTGTATGTTTGTTTGTGCCATCGCGCCTGGGGGCTATAACTCTTAGTGAAAGAGGAATGGACGTGGCATCTTTCCCCAGGGGATTGCTTCTTGCCCTCCTATAGGAAACTGGAACTCCCAAAGACCAAAACACAACAGATAACTCGAAATGGTATTTATTGTTCACAATGAGTTATCTTTCTCGGGCATAAGCTTGATGTTTCAACAGGGATAAAGGAAATATACTTTACAATCTCTGAAGTCCAAGGAGTTTGTAGCTGAGAAGCTTTTCCTGTTTCCTCTTTCCTCAATGGCTGTGAATGCCAGAGCAAACCACAACCACAGTTCAAATGGCCTATGTTGAAGGGACAAGACCTTCCTCTGGTGCCAAAAGAACCGGTTTGAAGGCACTTGAGACTTCCAACATCGTTCAGGATAGTCTGAACATGAAGCAAAGTCTCAAAGGTAAAAAACCTCAGAATTGGTGCTGAGAGGTAATTTAAGCAGGGGCTTTTAAAGCCAGGTCTCTTACTCACGTCCATCCGATAGAAACTCTGATGGCAGAATGAAAAGGGAAGCACTCCCCTTCTCCAGGAAGAGGTGGAGCCAAACAATACTGATTGACAGCTATAAGTAACCAATCAAACCAACTATACATAAGCAGGGTAAAAAGGCAGGATTAAGCATGATACAACAGTTTAAATCTTGCAACTAACAGTTCTACACATAGGTGGCGCCACTCGTGCCGTCACATTGTTGGTTGTTGAATACAAAATAATTTTAAAATAATTAATGACATTTTGACACCACTTTAACTGCAACACCTCAGTGCTCTGGACTCTGGGGAGTTGTAGTTTTACAAGGCCTTTTGCCTCTTCTGCCAAAGAGTGCTGGTGCCTTGCAAAACTACAGTGCCCAGAGCATTGCAGTCTTCAAACATTTCCTAGTTTTTGGGTGTTCTGAAATACAACCCTTCATGCCTTTGCATCATTTGTGGGGAACTAGCAAGGATGTTTAAGTGAGCTTCCTGCTGCCTACACAGACTTTCCCCTCATCTGATTTCAATCTGCTGTGTCTCTTGTTTGTATTTATAACCTCCGCCCAAGGCTCATCTCGTCAATCCTGAAGCTTCTCCATTTGAAATACATGAGTTGATTCTCCTCCATGCGTTTTTCCCCAGCTGCAGGATGCCTTGAAATGCCAGCATTGCAAGAAGCAGTTCAAGTCCAAAGCCGGATTGAATTATCACACCATGGCGGAACATGTCAACAAAGTAAGAGAACAATTCCCTTTTTTCAATCATCCTCATCAATGGTCCAAAACTCAAGTTGGTGACACTCCCAGTAATAACAACATTCTACACATGGTATCAATCTGCACAAAAAAGTTGAATCCTGCAACCCATTATGTGGAATATGTTGTCTTGAGATTGACTTCTATACGTCAATAAAAATATGTTTATGTGTAGTTAAGGCAGTGAAATTCTCTGAACAATGGATGGTGAATGTTTCAAAATGTAGCTCTTTTTGCAGAAGTAAAAGCATGCAGAATTCAACGACCTTAGCTTAATTCCTTTAATTTACAATAATATGTCCATCTAGAAATACCAAAGATTTTCTGACCTATAAAGCCCTATGTGGTTCCGGCCCACCTTACTTGTTCGAATGTATCTCCTTCTATGTCCCACCTCAGACTTTAAGATCGTGCGGAGAGGCCCTGCTCTCGATCCCGCCTTCCTCGCAAATGTGTTTGGTGGGGATGAGAGACAGGACCTTTTCGGTGGTGGCCCCTCACCTCTGGAACACCCTCCCCAGTGAGATCATCTCCATCCCTCCTCTCCTTCAGGAAGAAGCTAAATCATGGTTCTGGGGCCAGGCATTTGGGGAGCAGGCTTGATAGCGATTGCAATGTTTACATGACAGTCTCTGAGAAAGTCTTTGGACGTTGAATTAGATTGGATTTGGCTAAATGGTTGTTAATAATGTTTTTAAATGGATTTTAACTTAATGGTTTTATTTAATGTGCAATATTGTGATATGTTGTGAATGTATTCTGTATGTGTTGGCATTGAATTGTTGCCGTTGTAAGCCGCCCTGAGTCCCCCTTCAGGGGTTGAGAAGGACGGGGTACAAATGTTGGAAATAAATAATAAATAAATTATACAAAATTAACGTGGTATGAAAGGAGTAAAGCTGAAGAAGCCAACATCACACCGCACAAGTGTGTCAGTGTTTAGTTGGAGAAAACATATTATTTTGGAAAAAGATGTAACAGTATGGATTACACTTGAAAAATCAATTTTTTGCTGGGCCAAATGCTCTGTGATATCACCTGTATGCAGATGACGTCCAACTCTATCACTCCTTCCCACCTGCTACTAAGGAGGTTGTTCAGGTCCTGAACCGGTGCTTGGCAGCTGTGATGGTCTGGATGAGAGCGACCAAATTAAAACTGAATCCAGAAAAGACAGAGGTCCTCATGGTCATTCATAAGGCCAAACAGAGTACAGGGTTACAACCTGTATTGGATGGGGTTACACTCCTCCTGAAGATGCAGATTTGCAGTCTGAGAGCTCTTCTGGATTCATTGTTGAGCCTGGAGCCCCAGTTTTTAGCAGTGGTCAGGGGGGCTTTTTCACAATTAAAACTTGTGCACCAGTAGCTCATCGGAGTGTCATATATGGAGCATAAAAGTCCCCTATTACGTCAGCTCCACTGGCTACCAGTCTGCTACCGAGCACAATTCAAAGTGCTGGTTTTAGCCTATGAAGCCCTAATCAGTTCCGGCCCAGCTTACCTGTCTGAACATAGCTCCCCCTATGAACCATCTTGGAGATTAAAATCATCTGGAGAGGCCCTGCTCTCGGTCCCACCTCCTTCGCAGCTGCAATTGGTGGAAATGAGAGACAGGGCCTTTTCAGTGATGGCCCCTCGGCTGTGGAACTCCCTCCCCAGTGATATTTAGATCAGCCCCTTCCCTCCTGACCTTCAGAAAGAGGGTGAAAACGTGGCTTTGGGATCAAGCCTTTGGCAAAAAACACAATGCAATATAGGGACTTGGATTTATGTGTAATGATTACTGAAATGGCCTGAATATGATTGTGAATAATGTGGTTTTATAGTTGTAATTGCAATGTTTTATAAGTTTTAATGCTTTCTTAATCTTATTTAAATTTTGAATTGAAATGTATTGTCGAAGGCTTTCATGGCTGGAATCACTGGGTTGTTGTAGGTTTTTCGCGTTATATGGCCATGTTCTAGAAGCATTCTCTCCTGAAGTTTTACCTGCATCTATGGCAAGCATTCTCAGACATGACAACCTCTGAGGATGCTTGCCATAGAAGCAGGAGAAACGTCAGGAGAGAATGCTTCTAGAACATGGCCATATAGCCCGAAAAACCTACAACAACCATTTTAATTGAAATGTTTATTAAATTGTATATTGGATGTATATTGTTTTTAAGACATTGAATTATTGTCTTGAGTTCCCATCAGGATTGAGAAAGGTGGGAAATAAAAATAGCAAATAAATAAATAGATACTGAAGCCAGGACCATTTTCCAATGGTTAATACTGTGCCTGAAAAAAAATCATTAAAAGTGGAAGGACTTAAAATGTTTTGCTGATCCCATCTCTCTTTTTAATGATAAAACAAGTGTCCTTTGGACACATAGGCAATGATGCTTGCCGTCTTGCAAGCGGACTTTTGGGAAGCGGAAATGGGTTTTGGGAAAATGTGAGTGGCCAGATAACCTTGTGACCTGTTTTGGTTCTTTGTTTGCAGCCTCCTCCTGTGGAAGCAGCTGTTCCTCTGACCGAACACGAAGAGCGGGAGAGACTGAGGAAAGTGCTAAAGCAGATGGGAAAACTCAAATGCCCCAATGAGGTATTGCCTTTTGCGGTTTTTCTACTAAGTTTCAACTAAGTTCACACTCCCAGTAATAACAATGTTCTGCACATGGTAACAATCTACTAGGCCTTGGTAACAACGAAAAAAATTGTTTCTAAAATCGATTCGTTTTTTGGGGTTTTTTGCGTTTCGATATTTAAAAGATTTCCGAAATTTTCCTTTCAAAAAGTTTGATATTTACGAAATTTCGTTATTATTAACGAATCGATTCGTTAAAATGGCGGACGCGATTGCGCATGCGCGAAAACGGACTTCGGAAACTTCGTTATTAAATACGAATCGATTCGTTATTAAAATGATAACGAATCAATTCGTTAAAATGGCGGACGCGATTGCGCAATGCTGAATGCTCTACAAACAAAATCATTTCATAAAATAAATCAAATAAAATAATCAAATAGAATAAGATATTAAATTAAAAAGTAATAAGATAAAGTAGCCAAAACTGAGTCAAATAATATATAAACAATAATATAGTAATAAAATTTAAATAAATATAAATAATAATAATTTATAATAATTTATAAATAATAATAATAAATAATAATAAATAATATAAAATTATATAATATATATTATATAATATAAAATAATATAATATATTATTATATAAATGAAATAAATAATAATATAAATAATTATTATATCATATATTATAACATTTAATAATAATTATTTAATATTTATTTAAAAATAATATATAAAATTAAATTATAAATTATTAATAATATATAAAAATAATGTTATTATAAAAACGAGCACTGTATTATAGCACTTTGTGTTGGCCAAAGGGCCGCACTGCTTGGAACTACACAAATAATGAGCACTGTATTATAGCACTTTGTGGTGGCTAATGCGCCGCACTGGTTGGAACTACACAAATAATGAGCACTGTATTATAGCACTTTGTGTTGGCAAAAGGGCCGCACTGGTTGGAACTACACAAATAATGAGCACTGTATTATAGCACTTTGTGGTGGCTAATGCGCCGCACTGGTTGGAACTACACAAATAATGAGCACTGTATTATAGCACTTTGTGTTGGCAAAAGGGCCGCACTGGTTGGAACTACACAAATAAGGAAGGAGCACTGTATTATAGCACTTTGTGTTGGCAAAAGGACCGCACTGGTTGGAACTACACAAATAATGAGCACTGTATTATAGCACTTTGTGTTGGCAAAAGGGCCGCACTGGTTGGAACTACACAAATAAGGAAGCACTGTATTATAGCACTTTGTGTTGGCAAAAGGGCCGCACTGGTTGGAACTACACAAATAATGAGCACTGTATTATAGCACTTTGTGTTGGCAAAAGGGCCGCACTGGTTGGAACTACACAAATAAGGAAGGAGCACTGTATTATAGCACTTTGTGTTGGCAAAAGGACCGCACTGGTTGGAACTACACAAATAATGAGCACTGTATTATAGCACTTTGTGGCTAATGCGCCGCACTGGTTGGAACTACACAAACAAGGAAGGAGCACTGTATTATAGCACTTTGTGGTGGCTAATGCGCCGCACTGGTTGGAACTACACAAATAAGGAAGGAGCAATGTATTATAGCACTTTGTGTTGGCAAAAGGACCGCACTGGAACTACACAAATAAGGAAGGAGCACTGTATTATAGCACTTTGTGTTGGCAAAAGGACCGCACTGGTTGGAACTACACAAATAATGAGCACTGTATTATAGCACTTTGTGTTGGCAAAAGGACCGCACTGGAACTACACAAATAAGGAAGGAGCACTGTATTATAGCACTTTGTGTTGGCAAAAGGGCCGCACTGGTTGGAACTACACAAATAAGGAAGGAGCACTGTATTATAGCACTTTGTGTTGGCAAAAGGACTGCACTGGTTGGAACTACACAAATAATGAGCATTGTATTATAGCACTTTGTGTTGGCAAAAGGGCCGCACTGGTTGGAACTACACAAATGAAATGCTTGCCCTGTTGTGGAGCGAAAACAGCCACAGGACACACCACAACTGGGTGAAACAGCTTTTGTTTCACCAAAGAGAAATGTTTTTTTTTCTTTTTTTTGGAATATTTTTTTAATTTTTTTTAATAATAAAAGAAATATTTAGCAGAAAAAGTTTAAAAATAGAAAATTTACAAAATGCTAGCCCTGTAGTGGGGCAAAAACAGCCACAGGCACACAACAACTGGGTGAAACAGAGCTTTTGTTTCACCAAAGACAAACAGTCAAACACACAAGAGCAGCAAGCAATGCCTCCTGCTCCCTCCCACCCAAAACACGCTCTCCCGAGTCCCAACAGCGATTGAAGCAATAGAACTGAAGCAAGCCTCCCGCCCGCACCTCCCATCTCCTCGCCTTCCCAGCAATGAGCAATGCGGCCACGCGGAGCCGCTTTTAAAGGGCAGCCCGCCCAATCAGAATGAGACACGGTGCTTGGGAGCGCCGGATTGGCTCCCGGCGCACCCAGCATCCTCCATCCTTAAACGTCATTTCCGAAACGGGCGGAAGCTCGTAAAAAAGATGGCGGATGCCGTTTCGGTATTGAAAAACACTTGCGGGTTTGAAAATACATTTCAATATCATTTTGTAAATGAAAAAATTAACGAATAATTAACAAATTACAAAATTAACGAACGAAACCGCCCAGCCCTACAATCTACCCCAAAAAGTTGAATCTTGCAACCCATTGTGTTGAATACGTTGTCTGAAGATTGACTTCTATAGATCTATAAAATATATGTTTATGCAGAGTTAAAGCAGTGAGATTCTCTGAACAATGGATGGTGAATGTTTCAGAGCGTAGATCTTTTTGCAGAAGTAAAAGGATGCAGGATTCAATGACACAAGACCTACTGAGATGTGTCCGACTCTTGCTCCCCAAAACCCTAGTCAGCAAAGGGCAGAAATGGTCAACACGTGGGAAGAATCATAGAATCATAGAATCAAAGAGTTGGAAGAGACCTCATGGGCCATCCAGTCCAACCCCCTGCCAAGAAGCAGAAATAATGCATTCAAATCACCCCTGACAAATGGCCATCCAGCCTCTGCTTAAAAGCTTCCAAAGAAGGAGCCTCCACCACACTCCGGGGCAGAGAGTTCCATGCTGAACGGCTCTCACAGTCAGGAAGTTCTTCCTCATGTTCAGATGGAATCTCCTCTCTTGTAGTTTGAAGCCATTGTTCCGCGTCCTAGTCTCCAAGGAAGCAGAAAACAAGCTTGCTCCCTCCTCCCTGTGGCTTCCTCTCACATATTTATACATGGCTATCATATCTCCTCTCAGCCTTCTCTTCTTCAGGCTAAACATGCCCAGTTCCCTAAGCCGCTCCTCATAGGGCTTGTTCTCCAGACCCTTGATCATTTTAGTCGCCCTCCTCTGGACACATTCCAGCTTGTCAATATCTCTCTTGAATTGTGGTGCCCAGAATTGGACACAATATTCCAGGTGTGGTCTAACCAAAGCAGAATAGAGGGGTAGCATTACTTCCCTAGATCTAGACACTATGCTCCTATTGATGCAGGCCAAAATCCCATTGGCTTTTTTTGCCGCCACATCACATTTTTGGCTCATGTTTAACTTGGTGTCCACGAGGACTCCAAGATCATTTTCACACGTACTGCTCTCGAGCCAGGCATCCCCCATTTTGTATCTTTGCATTTCGTTTTTCCTGCTAAAGTGGAGTATCTTGCATTTGTCACTGTTGAACTTCATTTTGTTAGTTTGGGCCCATCTCTCTAATCTGTCAAGATCGTTTTGAATTCTGCTCCTGTCCTCTGGAGTATTGGCTATCCCTCCCAATTTGGTGTCGTCTGCAAACTTGATGATCATGCCTTCTAGCCCTTCATCTAAGTCATTAATAAAGATGTTGAACAGGACCGGGCCCAGGACGGAACCCTGCGGCACTCCACTTGTCACTTCTTTCCAAGATGAAGAGGAAGCATTGGTGAGCACCCTCTGGGTTTGTCCATTTAACCAATTACAGATCCACCTCACCGTAGTTTTGCCTAGCCCACATTGGACTAGTTTCCTTGCCAGAAGGTCATGGAGGACCTTGTCGAAGGCCTTACTGAAATCCAGGTACGCTACATCCACGGCATTCCCCGCATCTACCCAGCTTGTAGCTCTATCGAAGAAAGAGATCAGATTAGTCTGGCATGACTTGTTTTTGATAAATCCATGTTGACTATTAGCGATTACTGCATTTGTTTCTAAGTGTTTGCAGACCGCTTCCTTAACAATCTTTTCCAGAATCTTGCCCGGTATCGACGTGAGGCTGACCGGACGGTAGTGGTTTGGGTCATCCTTTTTTCCCTTCTTGAAGATTGGGACCACATTGGCCCTCCTCCAATCTGCTGGAACTTCTCCCGTTCTCCAAGAACTCTCAAAGATGGTTGCCAATGGTTCCGAAATGACTTCCGCTAGTTCCTTCAATACTCTTGGGTGTAGTTGATCTGGCCCTGGGGACTTGAACTCATTAAGAGCGGCCAGGTATTCCTGGACGACTTCTTTCCCAATTTGGGGTTGGATGTCCTCCAATCCCTCATCCACTCCATCTTGCTGAGGTTGAAGACAAACAGGGGCCTCATTGCACTAGAGAATTAATCCACTTTAAATCCAGTTTCTGCCTCCTGCAGAATTCTGGGGTTTTTAGTTTAGTGGGGCTGTTGAAGGCTCTTTCCTAAACTACAAACCCCAGAATTCTGCAGGATGCATCAACCGGATTTAAAGTGGATTCATTCGCTTGTGTGATGAAGTAGCAGGAGTTGACAACGCAGGCTCCTCGGCTTGAAAGTGGAGAAAAGCACCTCATCCCAGAGCCAGAAATGAGCACTCCCTCCAGAAGCTGGAAATGAAAAGAGAAGTCTTTGTCTTTGTCTGTGCTTGTGTGTCCCATTGTATGTGATTGTGAGGCATTGAATGTTTGCCTATGTCCACTGTAAATGCTGTAATATGCTCTTGAGTCAACTAGGGGAGAAGGGCGGAATATAAATACAA